GACTCAAGAGTCTGCTGATGATCGGAATAGCCACCCAGGCAGACTTTTGAGTTGACTCAAGAGTCTGCTGATGATCGGAATAGCCACCCAGGCAGACTTTTGAGTTGACTCAAGAGTCTGCTGATGATCGGAATAGCCACCCAGGCAGACTTTTGAGTTGACTCAAGAGTCTGCTGATGATCGGAATAGCCACCCAGGCAGACTTTTGAGTTGACTCAAGAGTCTGCTGATGATCGGAATAGCCACCCAGGCAGACTTTTGAGTTGACTCAAGAGTCTGCTGATGATCGGAATAGCCACCCAGGCAGACTTTTGAGTTGACTCAAGAGTCTGCTGATGATCGGAATAGCCACCCAGGCAGACTTTTGAGTTGACTCAAGAGTCTGCTGATGATCGGAATAGCCACCCAGGCAGACTTTTGAGTTGACTCAAGAGTCTGCTGATGATCGGAATAGCCACCCAGGCAGACTTTTGAGTTGACTCAAGAGTCTGCTGATGATCGGAATAGCCACCCAGGCAGACTTTTGAGTTGACTCAAGAGTCTGCTGATGATCGGAATAGCCACCCAGGCAGACTTTTGAGTTGACTCAAGAGTCTGCTGATGATCGGAATAGCCACCCAGGCAGACTTTTGAGTTGACTCAAGAGTCTGCTGATGATCGGAATAGCCACCCAGGCAGACTTTTGAGTTGACTCAAGAGTCTGCTGATGATCGGAATAGCCACCCAGGCAGACTTTTGAGTTGACTCAAGAGTCTGCTGATGATCGGAATAGCCACCCAGGCAGACTTTTGAGTTGACTCAAGAGTCTGCTGATGATCGGAATAGCCACCCAGGCAGACTTTTGAGTTGACTCAAGAGTCTGCTGATGATCGGAATAGCCACCCAGGCAGACTTTTGAGTTGACTCAAGAGTCTGCTGATGATCGGAATAGCCACCCAGGCAGACTTTTGAGTTGACTCAAGAGTCTGCTGATGATCGGAATAGCCACCCAGGCAGACTTTTGAGTTGACTCAAGAGTCTGCTGATGATCGGAATAGCCACCCAGGCAGACTTTTGAGTTGACTCAAGAGTCTGCTGATGATCGGAATAGCCACCCAGGCAGACTTTTGAGTTGACTCAAGAGTCTGCTGATGATCGGAATAGCCACCCAGGCAGACTTTTGAGTTGACTCAAGAGTCTGCTGATGATCGGAATAGCCACCCAGGCAGACTTTTGAGTTGACTCAAGAGTCTGCTGATGATCGGAATAGCCACCCAGGCAGACTTTTGAGTTGACTCAAGAGTCTGCTGATGATCGGAATAGCCACCCAGGCAGACTTTTGAGTTGACTCAAGAGTCTGCTGATGATCGGAATAGCCACCCAGGCAGACTTTTGAGTTGACTCAAGAGTCTGCTGATGATCGGAATAGCCACCCAGGCAGACTTTTGAGTTGACTCAAGAGTCTGCTGATGATCGGAATAGCCACCCAGGCAGACTTTTGAGTTGACTCAAGAGTCTGCTGATGATCGGAATAGCCACCCAGGCAGACTTTTGAGTTGACTCAAGAGTCTGCTGATGATCGGAATAGCCACCCAGGCAGACTTTTGAGTTGACTCAAGAGTCTGCTGATGATCGGAATAGCCACCCAGGCAGACTTTTGAGTTGACTCAAGAGTCTGCTGATGATCGGAATAGCCACCCAGGCAGACTTTTGAGTTGACTCAAGAGTCTGCTGATGATCGGAATAGCCACCCAGGCAGACTTTTGAGTTGACTCAAGAGTCTGCTGATGATCGGAATAGCCACCCAGGCAGACTTTTGAGTTGACTCAAGAGTCTGCTGATGATCGGAATAGCCACCCAGGCAGACTTTTGAGTTGACTCAAGAGTCTGCTGATGATCGGAATAGCCACCCAGGCAGACTTTTGAGTTGACTCAAGAGTCTGCTGATGATCGGAATAGCCACCCAGGCAGACTTTTGAGTTGACTCAAGAGTCTGCTGATGATCGGAATAGCCACCCAGGCAGACTTTTGAGTTGACTCAAGAGTCTGCTGATGATCGGAATAGCCACCCAGGCAGACTTTTGAGTTGACTCAAGAGTCTGCTGATGATCGGAATAGCCACCCAGGCAGACTTTTGAGTTGACTCAAGAGTCTGCTGATGATCGGAATAGCCACCCAGGCAGACTTTTGAGTTGACTCAAGAGTCTGCTGATGATCGGAATAGCCACCCAGGCAGACTTTTGAGTTGACTCAAGAGTCTGCTGATGATCGGAATAGCCACCCAGGCAGACTTTTGAGTTGACTCAAGAGTCTGCTGATGATCGGAATAGCCACCCAGGCAGACTTTTGAGTTGACTCAAGAGTCTGCTGATGATCGGAATAGCCACCCAGGCAGACTTTTGAGTTGACTCAAGAGTCTGCTGATGATCGGAATAGCCACCCAGGCAGACTTTTGAGTTGACTCAAGAGTCTGCTGATGATCGGAATAGCCACCCAGGCAGACTTTTGAGTTGACTCAAGAGTCTGCTGATGATCGGAATAGCCACCCAGGCAGACTTTTGAGTTGACTCAAGAGTCTGCTGATGATCGGAATAGCCACCCAGGCAGACTTTTGAGTTGACTCAAGAGTCTGCTGATGATCGGAATAGCCACCCAGGCAGACTTTTGAGTTGACTCAAGAGTCTGCTGATGATCGGAATAGCCACCCAGGCAGACTTTTGAGTTGACTCAAGAGTCTGCTGATGATCGGAATAGCCACCCAGGCAGACTTTTGAGTTGACTCAAGAGTCTGCTGATGATCGGAATAGCCACCCAGGCAGACTTTTGAGTTGACTCAAGAGTCTGCTGATGATCGGAATAGCCACCCAGGCAGACTTTTGAGTTGACTCAAGAGTCTGCTGATGATCGGAATAGCCACCCAGGCAGACTTTTGAGTTGACTCAAGAGTCTGCTGATGATCGGAATAGCCACCCAGGCAGACTTTTGAGTTGACTCAAGAGTCTGCTGATGATCGGAATAGCCACCCAGGCAGACTTTTGAGTTGACTCAAGAGTCTGCTGATGATCGGAATAGCCACCCAGGCAGACTTTTGAGTTGACTCAAGAGTCTGCTGATGATCGGAATAGCCACCCAGGCAGACTTTTGAGTTGACTCAAGAGTCTGCTGATGATCGGAATAGCCACCCAGGCAGACTTTTGAGTTGACTCAAGAGTCTGCTGATGATCGGAATAGCCACCCAGGCAGACTTTTGAGTTGACTCAAGAGTCTGCTGATGATCGGAATAGCCACCCAGGCAGACTTTTGAGTTGACTCAAGAGTCTGCTGATGATCGGAATAGCCACCCAGGCAGACTTTTGAGTTGACTCAAGAGTCTGCTGATGATCGGAATAGCCACCCAGGCAGACTTTTGAGTTGACTCAAGAGTCTGCTGATGATCGGAATAGCCACCCAGGCAGACTTTTGAGTTGACTCAAGAGTCTGCTGATGATCGGAATAGCCACCCAGGCAGACTTTTGAGTTGACTCAAGAGTCTGCTGATGATCGGAATAGCCACCCAGGCAGACTTTTGAGTTGACTCAAGAGTCTGCTGATGATCGGAATAGCCACCCAGGCAGACTTTTGAGTTGACTCAAGAGTCTGCTGATGATCGGAATAGCCACCCAGGCAGACTTTTGAGTTGACTCAAGAGTCTGCTGATGATCGGAATAGCCACCCAGGCAGACTTTTGAGTTGACTCAAGAGTCTGCTGATGATCGGAATAGCCACCCAGGCAGACTTTTGAGTTGACTCAAGAGTCTGCTGATGATCGGAATAGCCACCCAGGCAGACTTTTGAGTTGACTCAAGAGTCTGCTGATGATCGGAATAGCCACCCAGGCAGACTTTTGAGTTGACTCAAGAGTCTGCTGATGATCGGAATAGCCACCCAGGCAGACTTTTGAGTTGACTCAAGAGTCTGCTGATGATCGGAATAGCCACCCAGGCAGACTTTTGAGTTGACTCAAGAGTCTGCTGATGATCGGAATAGCCACCCAGGCAGACTTTTGAGTTGACTCAAGAGTCTGCTGATGATCGGAATAGCCACCCAGGCAGACTTTTGAGTTGACTCAAGAGTCTGCTGATGATCGGAATAGCCACCCAGGCAGACTTTTGAGTTGACTCAAGAGTCTGCTGATGATCGGAATAGCCACCCAGGCAGACTTTTGAGTTGACTCAAGAGTCTGCTGATGATCGGAATAGCCACCCAGGCAGACTTTTGAGTTGACTCAAGAGTCTGCTGATGATCGGAATAGCCACCCAGGCAGACTTTTGAGTTGACTCAAGAGTCTGCTGATGATCGGAATAGCCACCCAGGCAGACTTTTGAGTTGACTCAAGAGTCTGCTGATGATCGGAATAGCCACCCAGGCAGACTTTTGAGTTGACTCAAGAGTCTGCTGATGATCGGAATAGCCACCCAGGCAGACTTTTGAGTTGACTCAAGAGTCTGCTGATGATCGGAATAGCCACCCAGGCAGACTTTTGAGTTGACTCAAGAGTCTGCTGATGATCGGAATAGCCACCCAGGCAGACTTTTGAGTTGACTCAAGAGTCTGCTGATGATCGGAATAGCCACCCAGGCAGACTTTTGAGTTGACTCAAGAGTCTGCTGATGATCGGAATAGCCACCCAGGCAGACTTTTGAGTTGACTCAAGAGTCTGCTGATGATCGGAATAGCCACCCAGGCAGACTTTTGAGTTGACTCAAGAGTCTGCTGATGATCGGAATAGCCACCCAGGCAGACTTTTGAGTTGACTCAAGAGTCTGCTGATGATCGGAATAGCCACCCAGGCAGACTTTTGAGTTGACTCAAGAGTCTGCTGATGATCGGAATAGCCACCCAGGCAGACTTTTGAGTTGACTCAAGAGTCTGCTGATGATCGGAATAGCCACCCAGGCAGACTTTTGAGTTGACTCAAGAGTCTGCTGATGATCGGAATAGCCACCCAGGCAGACCGCAAAAACCGGAGAGCTTGCATGGTGTCAGCATGCGGGCACACGACCGGGAGAGTGCGAGGGTGCAAAGAGGGAGAGGGGAGGGCTGGGGGAGGGGAAGGAGAGCGAGTGAGTAAGAAGGAGAGTGGAAGGAGGGCAAGGGGAGGAATGGCTGGGATGACGGGCAGAGATGGGCGAGTGGAGGGGAGAATGGGAGGGCGAGGATAGGGAGCAGTGCAGAACACGCACCAGTCAAGGTCGAGAGTGAAGGTAGCAGCGAAGACAGACTGCAGTGTGTGCATGGGGTGGAAGAGGTCGTGCAGTGACACCTCCTCGGGGTCCTGCTGCTGCACCACAGCCACCGCCGCCGCCTCACATGCCAGCTGCGGCGGCGGCCTCAACCGCTGCTGCTGGTGCCGCTGCTGCTGGTGCCGCTGCTGCTGCTGCTGCCGCTCCGCCGCCCTTCCTATCCCCTCACACCCTGCCAGTGCTGCACTTACATCCCCTCCTCCCCCTCCTCCTCCCCCCCTTCCTCCCCCCTCTCCTACCCCTCCTCCTCCCCCTCCTGCCCCCTGTACCCCACCTTCTCCACGCCCCCCACCATCACCATCACCATCACCATCACCATCACAGCACCTGTCTGTCGTCCTAGCCCCAGCATCTTCCCACCTGCCATGGAAGCGCAGGCGGTTCAAAGCAAACCCATGCATGTGACCCGGCCCCATCCCACTCAGCGGCCTTCCCATCCCCCTGCCTTCCGAACCCTCCACTGGCCCCTCACGCGCCCTTCCACTGCCACTTCCCCTTCCTCCTGCCTCTGACTCTCCCTCTCCCTTGGTATCTTGGCTTACTCCCCCTGAATCTGCTTGCCCTTCATCGATTTCCGCGCCACCTGCTTCTGTGCTTGCTGCTCCTGCTACGGATTCAGGAGCAACTGTCACTACCAGGCCTGCAGGCAGGTAACCACCAGTCTGAGGTTCTGGTAACCCGGCTGTCACTGTTTCCAAGCGCTCGCCATTCATTTGCCCACTGCACGAGACCGGCTGTGCACGCACCCCCTGCACCTCCACTGCTGCTGCTGTGCCTGTGCTCTCACCTGCGGCTGTCGCAGTCGCTGTTGCTACTGCTGCTGCTTCTGATGCTGATGCTGATGCTGATGCTGATTCATCCGCTAAAGCACCCGCCGCTATCACCTCGCTTACCGGATGGCGTGCCTGAACCGAGGCTCCTTTCACTGCACAATCTCCTGCACCACCGCAAGCTCCTGCTGTCATGCATGCTGCTGCTCCCCCTGCCACCTCCGTTGCTGCTTGTACTATTTGCTCTGCTTGCACACTCTCCTCCTGCATGGAAAGTCGCGGTGCCTCCAAAATAACATCCGTTGCAAGTCGTCTTCTCGCTGCTGTTCGCGCTCCCTCCTTCCGCACTGCTCCAGCAACCCCATTCGCCCCTCTCACAACAAATCCTGCCACTTGCATCGTTTCCCCTGCTCCAGCCGCCCTTACAACAACCGCGTCACTGCCTCGCGTTGCTTCTGCCCCATAAATCCCCCCCGTTTCGCCCATCAACCCATTCTCTTTGCTACAGTCAAAAATCTCCTTGGGCGCAACACACTCGACTATGGCCGTAGCTGAGAATCGCCACTCTAAAACCTCCCGACTCCCATCCCTGTCGCCACTGCTCTTCTCCGCGCCACCACTTCTCTCATCCCTTCCATCCTGCCTCCGTCCATGGCTCAAACTGTGGTACTCCTTCGCACCACCACCCCAATCACCTTCCTCACCACCCGCCTCCCCCTCCCGCTCATCATCGCTCTCACTCAGCAACACAATTGCATCGTTCCTGTTTGATCCCAACCCTGACGCCGCCCTTCGAGCTTCCTCCGCGCAACCCTGCGCGACCATTGCCGCGGACTCGCTTCGCTCCTCGTGCACGCACGTGCGCGGGGGTGCGGGCTGCGTCTTGGGCAGCAGTTCTTCCTCAGGTGGCTTTTGTGGCGCCTTAAAAATCCCCTCGTGCACGTGTGTGAGCTGGGGTGCGGGCTGCGACTTGGGTAATAGCTCTTCCTCAGGTGTCTCATCACAGCCGCTCTGCTCCTCCCCCATCCCTTCGTCCCCCTTTCTCGCCCCTCCATCGCCCTCTCGCGCCCCTCGATCTTTCCCCTTCGCCCCGCCATCCTCCCCAGTCGCCCCTCCATCCTCAACCCTCGCCTCTCCATCCGCCCCCCTCGCTTCTCCAACCTCTTCCCTCGCTTCTCCATCCCCCCTCGCCTCTCCATCCGCCAGCTTCGTCTCTCCATCCTCCCCCCTGTCCCCCCCATCCTCCTGTATCGCTGTATCTCCACCTCCCAGTGCTTTCGGAGTCGACCCAACCGCCACGCGGGCTTCAGCATTCACCTGCGTACCATGCTCCTCCCTTGCCTCCCCCGTCTGCCGCTCCAGTTCGTCTGCTTTTTGCTGGCTCTCTTCAATAACATTATCGCGTGCTACTATAGCGCATCCGTCACGTGACCGCGGCGTGCGCGCGCTCGCTAATGTCACACATACTACACTGTCACCATTCATTTGCCCAGTACCGGCCGCTTGATTTCTCTGTCGAGCTTCGGGCTGGCTCTTGGATCGCTGTAGCTTCGCGGAAAGAGCGCACTTGCGACCGTGTGACTTTATCGAAGGCTGCCGTGGGATGCCAGAAAAGGGCGTCCCCTTATCGCGGCACTTATCCCCGCTTATCCCATCACTGCTTCTGTCACCCGTTTCTTCAATCACAACTCGAAAGCCCAGAGGGTGACCGAACCCTGCGTCCGCGAGCCGCCCCTTCGATACAGGAACGACGAACGACACCTCGCTACCGCTCGTTAAAGCCACGGGACGACTCGCATCCACGAGCCTGCCGTTGACGTACGTTCCGTTCATCGAGCGTGCTACTATCGAGGATGGCGCCAGCGGTTGTAACGAAGCGCCGTTCACACACCATGATTGCGCTCCCGGAAACGCGAGGAATTCCGGACAAGCCCCTGCGCTTCGACCTCGACCAAGAGACTTAGTAACCGGCGGGGACCTCAGTGCGGCGGCCGACTCTTGAGAAGCCGCGAGATCCGCCGCCACGGGCTCGGCAGCTGCAACTGAGAATCCTCCTTTACTGGATCGATCGGTGAGAGAAGCGGGCAAGTGGGGAGGATGGCCGCGGAACCGTTGGTGCGGGATTGGCAGCGGCGGCTGGGGATTCACGGAGCGCGAGAGGCCTGCCAGTCGACGTCGCTTGAGCGGCAACTGCGCGGATTCGTCCACAACGGGGTCTGCTAGTCCGTCCTCGACTTCTAGCTGTTTCCTCGCTGCTGCCTTCGCTAACTGCGGCTCGGGATACGACTGAAACTGGCTCCCGTGATTGGAGAACGCGATTGGCTCTTGCGCACCTGCACGCGACTCCACGGCGTGTGGCGACTCGCCGCGGCGCGGCGGTGGGTGGTTCGCATGAATAGTGTCCTCGAGCTCATGAGACATGTCAGGGTAGCAGCTAAAATCGGTGTCGGGCTGCGTCTGCATTCCTAGGGAGTCGGGTTGACTGTAAGCATGCATGGCTCCTGATTGGCTGGCTTCCGCGGCTCCTAATTGGCTCGCTTCCGCGGCTCCTGATTGGATGGCGTCCGCGAGTCCTGGTTGGCTGCTTATTGCGGCATTTGTTTGGTTGGCTATCGCGGCATCTGATTGGCTGGTTCCGTCCACGAGAAACAGTTTGCCCGTCTGCGCACACCAGAAGAAGCCGCACTGAATGCGGCTGACGCGGGAGTCTAGAATGATGACGTCGCATTGTGACCGCGACCGCCCCACGCGGAGGAGCGAATTGGGGCGGAGCGGGATAGTGGTGACTTTAACGAGGCCGCTGTCGCGGGAGGTAGCAGGCACGAAGCATGGGGAGAGCGCGTGAAGGAGAATGTCGAATCGGCCGTTCGTCATTGCTAAGACTTTAGGCGGTCTTGACGAATGAGGGATGGGAGTTAACTAGGGCCCGTCATAACCAGGCGAAAGCGTCTTGTGGCGAAACGGCAAAGGCAAAGCGGCGGTGCCTGCTGTTCCGCAGTTGTGACTCGAGGAGAATGCTGTTCGGATGGTGGTGGTGGTTGGTGTGGGTGTGTGCACTGCACAACTTCAGCCTTCAGGTTTCGATTGTCCACGCGCCAAAGCTGGAATGGAGACAATCGAGGTGGGTCCACGGTTGGATGAAGCACTGGCTTGATCGGACGGTAATTAGCCGCTATATTCGGTGGTGGGTTCTCTTGGGATTTCAGTTTGAACGCTCGAAGTTTAGGAGCCAAAAAGTTTGGCGGGAAACAGGATTACAGGCAGGTGTGTTCAACACGCTTCCAAGGCCAGCGGCGATAAAACCATGCGGTGTACTTCAACTTGTATCGTACCTATTGAAACATAGATGATCATTTGGCTACATGCAATGGAGAAGGTGATATATTGGCCAAGTGTAATCAGGTATATGACTTGGCTGTACTTCCAAAGCTGGCAAGAGACGTGATGCTTGTCAAACTACATATACACTTCTGTATGTCCACATTATAGGGTAGGTTGGGTTACTCTGCAAATGGTACAGCTTTGGTACTTGTTCACAACCGTATGCCCGCATTAGTCATTTCTTTCCTTCGTCAACATGGTATCGGGTTAGGTTAGGTCGCCGCTTCCGCTTCGCCTACCCTAGCTATTCTAGAAACGACGCCCTCTCCCGATGCCCTTAGCACACCCCCTAGAGCGCCCCTAGCATGCTTTCCGCCCTAGCCAACCAACCAGAATCTTCTGTGAATTTACTGTTACCGGTACGACTCGTGAGGCCAGCAGGACCTGCCTATCCAGCTCCACCTTGTACTCTCGCATTCCCTCAATGAACCCCAGAAGAAATTGAGAGCGCCTATGTGCATGTAACGGGGAGCGCAAATTGAGAGTGCGTGTAGCTGGTTCGCTCAGTGAGTACTACGGCAGTGCTACGAGGCCCCCATCTGTCTCTCCAGCTCCACCCTCTACTCGCGCATTCCCTCGATAAACCCCACGGCAGAATCCAGGAGAGTGGGTATCTGCATGGGACTGGCGGCGCAAATGAAGCGGGCTCCAGTCGCCCTGCCTCTTCAAACCTGGTCCTCCGGCCATCGCGTTGTTACGAGGTCAGCAGCTGTCGCTCCAGCTCCCGCTTGTACTCCCGCATGCCCTCGATGAACCCCACTGCAACATCCAGGAGGGGAGTCAAAATGGGACAATTCGAGGTAGCTTGCTCAAACCAGACCAAACGTGCCGTTACGAGGCCAGCAGCTGCCTCTGCAGGTCCCGCTTGTACTCCCGCATGCCCTCGATGAACCCCACTGCAGCCTCCAGCAGAGTGGCTATCTGCGTGCGATTGCTGAACCCCGCCCGCCCCTGCTGCCTCAGAAGCACCTCTGCTGGTATCGCTGCCTTGAGGGCCTCTAGCCGCTCTCTGTGACACACACATGGGTAGCGGAACGGACGAGGCACGCATTAGGCTGGCTCTAAAACTTAAACATGGTATCGCTAACTTGAGTGCGCTTACTCGCTCTCTGTAATACACACGAAGGACATGGGAGGGAGGGAAGGAAACATAGGATGAATAGGGAGGCTCAGTAGTGTGCAGTGCAGAAACACTTGGTCCGACGGGCAGCATGTAAGCAATGCGCTTACACACACGTACGACTTGGTCAACCAGAGTCAACGAGAGTCAACAAGAGTCAACCAGAGTCAACCAGAGTCAACCAGACTCAACCAGACCCAACCAGACCCAACCAGAGTCAACAAAATTCAACAAGAGGGAGATACCAAGTCAGCAAGAGTGAAGAAGAGTGAACACGGCTGAGCCAGAATGAACCCTCACCCGACTTACGTTATTCTGGATCGCCGTTGCTTCTCTGTAGCGCTCTTCCCTGTGATTTGCCTCGCCCCTGCTGCTGCAACAGCCCCTGCACGTCCCACCCCTCTTCTCGGAGACTGGGACAGCGGGGACGGGGTTGCAGAGGGCGACTTAAAGCCTGTGTTCCCTCCGGGGGGTGACTCTTGGGCTGCTGCAGACCCACCTACTGCTGCTGCCTGCAGTTGCGGCGAGTCTGGAGTGAATGGGTGCTGTGCGTGCGGCTGCGGTACAGAGGTGTTTGGAGTAAAGGGTTTGTGTGTGTGTGCCTGGTTTGATCCTGCTTGCACTGCTGGGTGAACTTGGGGATTCGGGTTCGGCAGATGCTGGGGTGGCGATAATAGCACTCGAGACGGTTCAAAACGCAGCTCTGGCGACACAGACCGGTGCAGTGCGGTGCTGCCAGGTGCTTGTGCTTGGAGTCGCCTCAGAAGGCTGCTAAAAGCTGCCTGCCTCTGCTGGTGTGCGAGGGACGAGACTGGCATGGCAGGTGCAGCTGGAGAACCAGCAGCAGCAACATCAGAAGCAGCAGCAACAGCACCGCCACCACTACCAACAGCAGCAGCACCACCAGAAGCAGCAGCCGCGAGGGGAGAGGCGGCGCCCACACAGCCATCCAGTCCCACCCCACGCTCCATCTCAAAGAGATGTGGCAGAGGCATCACAAGAGCTGCAGCACCACCAGTGGCAGCAGCAGAACCAGCAGCATCATCATCATCATCAAAAGCAGGCGAGGGAAACGGCAGAGGCTGCATGGGAGTTACAGGGGTGGGTGCGGCCATAGCAGGAAGGGCTGCTGCTGGATCCCACGGTGCATCGAGGTTGGCAATACAACCCGCCCTTCTTTCGTCGGAAACGAGGCTGCTGCTGCTAGAGAAGACACCAACAGCAGCAGCAGAAGCAGCAGCGCGTGGTTCAATGGCTGCAGCAGGAGAAGCAGTAGCAGCATCAGTAGTGGTTGCAGCGAGAAGGAAACCAGTATCAACAGCAGCAGGGGTCCCGCATAATCGCTTCCTCGCCTGAAAAGCGTGCATTTGAGCCAGGTCATTTATTTGAGAAGCTAAAAGCCTTCGCTTCGTAGTTGGTACGGAGGTAGGAGAGTAGCGAGCTTCGGGTGCCGTTGAGAGGTTGCGGACGGGGGGAAGGGACGGCGAGGGGAAGGAGCAACAAGCAGGCGGAGGAGGATAGGTGCTGAGCTGGAAAGACGTCTGAGTTACTAGCAGCTGCTGATTGAGCAGCAGCAGCTGAGTCAGCAGCGGCGCAGGAAGCAACGTACGGGGACAACTCCGGGACTCTTTCCGAATCTGAGTGAGCAGGGGGTTGGGAGGGGACACTAGATCCCCAAGAACCCCTCTCCCATCGTCCTGCGGCGGCCCTGCTGCTGCTGCTGCTGAGGGTGCTTCTGCTACCGGACTCTCCCTCTCACTTGATGCTCCAACCAGCACCAACCCCGCGTGCTCGGAACTTGATGCTGCTGGCTCGGACTCACGCAGCGTCTGGTTCTCTGCGGTTGTTGACGCGGGCTCAAACCCACCCAACCCGCGGTGCTGCGCGGCAGCGGTGAATGCGGAGTCACCTACTACGTCGCTGGGCCGCTGCTGGGCGCGCTGCAGCGCTGCTTGGATGAGGCGCAGCTCGTCCCTGCTCATGCTGCTCCAGCCATCATCCACCGCCCGCACTGTGTCAGCTGGAAGCTCCCCCCTTTGGAGCGCGTGGAAGCACGGGTCCGTCGTTAAAGTCGCCGGGTCAAAGCATGGTTCCCCCGTTACTATAGGCGCGTCCCGAGAATCCATGCAGAGAGCCACACCAAGTTAACGTTGAGTTTGGTTGTCGTAGTCTCAGAACCAAAAGAGCACGAAACACTTTCCGAGCGCAGTCGGATTGATTTAGAAGCCTCGAAACGAGCAACGAAGCGCCATAAGAACTGTCACAACGACACTTGCTGGAAGATAAAACAGGAAATCCGTTTCAAAATTCCATGCATCGGCCTATTCACTACTGATACCACGAGGAGTGGTACGATGATGAATCTGGCGAAAGTGGAAACGCTGCTGCCGCGCTTGCACTTACTCGTAGTGCCAGCGGAGTCATGCTGCCTCGCCGCGGACGCGGAGCGCTTTTGAGAGGGGAGGAGCAGCAGCACTCTTGCGACGCGGCGTGGGAGCGACTGGCTTTTCAAAGGCGTTGAACCTACTCGCAACGCAAATGATCCAATAAATCTCCGACATCGTTGACGTCTGAACGGAAACCGGGACTCCTAGCCGTCAAGGTTTGACGCCAGCCGCCGAGTAAGGAATCCTCTAAATGCTGTCGATTCTCTGAATCTGGTCACGCGGCGAGCAGGCGGCAATATCAGGCATCATTCCACGCAGCATGCTAAGTCCCGTGATGGCGTCATACTACTGGAAAATAAAACCGTCACAAACACGATACTGATACGATATGATACATATCATAGCGGGATTCACTGTGGTATGCATGCACCATCACGGGATGTTGTGTTGTGTTGTGGATACGACACCACGTACCACCGTTTTGAGTACGAAATGGAAAGACGATACTCGGCCGGTACCGAGACAGAGACGGAGACGGAAGAGAAAATACGCCACGGCGCATTACGTGGTGGTAGTTCCGTGACAGGAGAAAGATGACCGTCCCGTTCAGAAACAGAGAGACGTATGAGAGAAAAGCCATGTGGCTGTACTGTACTTACGCACATCATTCAGGCGGATAAGATCCGATTCTGCCAGACTCGACAGACTCCCAGTGGGAATCTGACGGACAACATTTTCGACTCGACACCCGTCGGACGCTTTTCGAAGGTCACGAAGGACGCGCTTTGACAGGCACATCATGGCCTTGTTCTGTGGCTCCTTAACTCAGAGTTAACTGGGTTCGTGGTGGCTTCAATAACTCAGGCCTTACACGTGTGAACGTTACAATCACACCGTGCCAGCTAACTCAGAGTTAGCAAATAAGGGTTCCACATACACAAAGTTATAACTCAGAGTACGCTTCGTAGGAAGCATACACTGAATCTTCTCTCACGGGCAAATTAACTCAGAGTTAGCGCTTTCCCTTACTCGGGCTTTTGGGTGAAAGTTGGCTGCACGACTCTGAGTACGGCTCGAGAGGGGTTACCTCAACAATGCCCACATTTGGTTCTTTCCAACTAGTCCCCATGCTGTGCTGCGTGAAGTTGAATTATTTTGCCTCATGGTCACCCTTTCGCACAGTTTTTTTCGGAAGGGGCGGCACTTCGGGTTGAGACTAAAAGTTTAACCAGAACAACTTCGAGAACGCCCCTGGAACTTCCTTAACTCTGAGTTACGAGGCCACAGAACACCAAGGTGAGTTACAACTCCAACACTCACACGAGCGTAATGATTAATTGTCGGTGTACTCACCCGAACCTACACGGCTCGGTAACTCAGAGTTAGCTAACTCTGAGTTAGCGCCACAGAACAAGGCCCATGTACGCGTACTACCCTCACTACCCTCGCACTTTTCGTAGTAAGTTACTACTAGTACACGTACAGTAGTGCTAAGCACGCCCCCACTTGCGCCTTACGCGCACTCTTCTCGGAGAAGCACTCTCTGCATGTGACGAGAGCGAATCCGAGAAAGATACGGAGGCTGGTGGCCCGTGACGTGAGCTTACAGCGCAGCTTCCTTTGGGAGAGCTTACACACGAGAAGGTGTATTTCGCGAGAACTGTCACCTGAACTATCCAGGACTGACTGAGCTGAGCGGTCCTTTGGCACGGACGACCGTCACAGTCACAGCTCAAACAACTCTAGTAGCTGGTGGTATGATGATTATGAATCGTTCTGCATTTCTCTGTTCAAAGGTGCCCGCCCTTACGAAACCGTGTCGCCCAATTCTAGGAGAAGGAACGTAGGGTTTACTCGTCCCGTCCGGCATCATCTCTTTCCAGCTAGAACTAGCTAAGGGCGTGTCTGAAGTGCAAACGTCGAGTTTCGTCAAATTTCGTCGACGAAACTCATCCGTGGGACCCACGCGTGTTGGTGTCTGAAGTGCAGCCTGACATCCCTCGACGAAACTCGACGTTCGTGCACTTGTCGAGGGATGTCGAACAGTGATACCGGGCAGCTGTTTGAGTCACTGTAGTCAGTGAGTGTTTCAAAAACAATTCTTCGACACGCCATGTCTGCATAGCTGTGGCAAAACACACGTGAATAAGAACTAGGACGAGAGCGACACGTGCTAGAGAAATTTCGCTGGCAATGTGACAGTAGAATATCCGGTGTTACCAGCAACAATCTATGCTAAGCGAAATTCGCGAGATTGCAAACAATTGAGTTACATGAATGATTCTGTTAATTCCACGTCGAATTTTCATGGGCAACTTATAACAGTGTTCCTATGGCACTTGTGGGTTATTTTGTCGTGTGGGTGTCTGAAGTGAACACAGCTGAAAACGGATGTCGAGTTTCGTCAAGGAACGTCGACGAAAGTTTCGTCGGCAAACGTCGAAATTCACTTCAGACACGCCCTAACGTCACTTGCCCTAATGGAAAGCTCCTGGAAACAGACATCGCATCAAATCCCCATTCCCCATGGCCTGTGCGCGCGCTTAGGACCAAACTGGTGGGGTGAGTGAATCATAGCGTAGATTGGAGAGCCAACAAGAGAGCCAACACGCACGAAACCAATAAAGAAGCAATCACACAATCACGTTCAGGCGAGCACGAAAACATGATTGAGAAAAACGAAGCACACAGGGCGGGAAGGTGGTTTTTGCTAGCTAAGGTCGGGTCTGTTATGAGTTGTACGAAAGACGAGTGCACTGAGTGCAATATCGCGGAAGTTATTACAACTTGTAAGGAAAAATATTTTTCCTTACTTCGCGTCCCTGCTCAGCGCGTACGCCACTGTTCCCGCCAACAGCACCCAACAGTAAACCGTTACAACTCGCAACATTCGCCTCGACACTGTTCCCGCCACTGTTCACGACGCGACCCAACCGCACGGTTCGGTTGGTAACCCGCGCCCCGGACCTCCGCCTCGACATTTCCCAATCTCGGCGCCAGGCCCGTCGCGCACCCCATTTTCACGCATTACTGTTACCACTATATTTTCGCTATATATTCTTCGCTCATGCCTTCGCTCATTGTACTTTTGCTTCGATAGTGCAATTCTCGCTCGCTCACTCGATTGCACTCGTAACACTTGGTATTCAGAGCGTACGATCTCTTTCTCGGACCGCACCCACACCTTCGCTTCCCCAGTATCTCAATATTTAGGGGGGGGGGTAGACGTCTCTCAGCGAAACAAGCACCGCCGCTCGAAGTGCTCTCTCGTAAGCACGCACGGCCACGACCGAGGCTCTCGCTGAGCTTGCCCGATGTTATGGTCTAGAGTCGACTTAGGGGTCGCGGATGCTCATGAAACCGCCTAAGTAGAAACTGACGACTTCAAACCGCCTCTGTTCAAAACGCCGTCACGATCAGCTCCGATACCATACGAGGCTGAAACTTGAACAACAGTTAGCCTTGGGTGTTTTCTGTCCAAGATATATCACTTGCTTGTATCAGAGGTGTATGTACTGTATTCTCCCGGACATAACACCCTAGGGTAGATATAAAAATACAGGAAATAAAAGGGGTGTGTCTTCTCATAGGAAAAAGCTACATAATACCCGGGTGCATATATATGGTATATTTTAGTGTAAGAGTTTTTTTTATTAGACAAGTTGAGTGTTTCCATGGCGTTTTAACATAACACGTTGAGGCGCGAATAGAAGTTTCGACGCGAACGTCAGCACCCCCTCGAAAATTCCATGTGGCACCTGTCTGGCCACTTGCAGGGGAAGATTCGCCAGCGCGTGGCGATAGCGAAATGGTGGGCGGGGGGGAATCTCGGCAGGTTCGAAGTGAAAGAACCTCGAAATTTCATCGAGGGAGGGATTTTCGCGATATCCTCCCATACTTGCATCTCCTCATAAACAAATATAATAAAGAATCTGTAAGAAAAGGGGGGTGTTATAAAAAAATCATTAAAAAAAGGGGGGTTATAGTAGAAACGAGGTCGCCCATAGCACCCACCCCACACAAGCTACCCGGGGGTGCTCAATCATGGGGGGGTGTTTTGTCCGGGAGAATACGGTACTACGCTGTGAATGAGAACATGCGCTCGGCTGAAAACGTGTAGTTTTATTGATGTAGGGAAGAGGTGAGTACAATATTGCCTAGGGGACTCTTAAGGGGTTGGGATCATCCTGGGAACTCAGAGAAGGTTGAGTCATAGGGGAGAAAGGCTAGAGAAGGATGGGAAGCGTCCTAGCTAGGTCAGCAAAGCCAACCACACTTGGATGTTCAAAGCTGTACTCAAGGCTACCAATAGTGAGTCAAGCCAACCATGAGTCAGCTTGTCTTCCCACTTGCACCCTCTTGCAAGCTGCTTCCAGGAAGACCACACTTCTCAAAAGGAGGGTGGTAGAGTCCCACTTGACCACCTGTACTTCTTGTCTCATTCTCTGTCCCTGCACCATTGGCATGACAACAATGAAATGGTGGCGAGGGAAATGCTGCCAACAGTGCACCATGAATACGGAACAGTAACTTTTGACAGCTGTCACGTGCTGCTCCGATGCCTGGTTGTCCTGAAACTCGGTGACCACCTGCACAACATGGCAAAGGACTACCACACCGATTTTCAGACCAATCAAAGTTTGGTAGATGAGTCAGCAGCCGAAATGGTGAACTCGGGTGTTACCAAAAAAGAGTAACACACACCTCAGGGATGCAATATATCTTGAAACAAAAAAATG